AAGGAATATGAGAAACAGGTCCTCTTTGGCACTGGATGTCATCTACTTGTAATAGCAGGAACTGCTGCAGCTGTTTTGGGACCATGAGGAGCACTACCTTAGAAGGACAAACCAGGATGTGGAGATGGCAAAGTAGAAGACAAAAGGAACCGGGGCCCTTAAAAACCACAGTGAAGAGGGTTAATGGTGGGGTTGTGGGTGGAGGGGATGGGCTAAATGAGCAATGGGCACTGAGGAGGGCACTTGTTATGATGAGCGCTGGGTGCTGTGTGTAAGTGATGAATCACTAAATTCTATTCCTGAAATCATTATTACACTATGTGTTTACTAACTTGGATTTAATTTAATTTTAATAACAATTATAATAATAAATTATTTTTTTTAAATACAGTGAAGTGCTGAATCAGTCAGTCTTGGAATAGTCAACACAATCTCTGGCTGCCTTGAAATGTGATATAATACAGGTTACTATCATTTACACCACTTTTAGTTGGATTTTTCTGGTAGCTGCAGCCAAAAGCATCTTAACTGATACAACTGGTAGTAGCCCCCAACCTCCTCACCTTCAAAAGCCTCACTATTCCCCAGACCTGTCCTTACAGCAGAAATGAATTTAGATTTACAAGTGTACTTCTTACACTGCAAATATTCAAAGGTTAAGCCTATTAGTCACTCTCTCCTTACTGTGAATTACTCCGGTCAGATTATCTTCCCCCCAAGACCATGCTGTGAGGAATCACAGGGTTGGAGAGGAGAGAGGAACAGGAGTGGACAGTGAGAAACATGAGGACACAAGATACCTGGAGTGGCCATAAAAGAAAGCGCCAGAAGGCTATGCTTTCCCTCCCCCTGGTCTCCAAGTTTCTGGTGGCTAAGCTCCCCCTAATGCCCCCTAGAAATCATTCTTCTCCTATTAACACACATGACAACCTTTCTGGGGTTTTCATTCCTAAACCAGAGGTACTATTTTAGGTCAGGACTCAGAAAAAAAAAACTATAATACTCATTTCAAATATAAAATGAAATGAGCTTTTCAGTTAGGCTCTTCTTAGTTTTACAGAGGAGAGTGAGGCCAGGTAGGATGTTTTTCCACCGGAGACCAAGCCCAGTGAGGAGGCAGGGCCACTGGTGCTGCTGTTAATACTGATGGTGGACGGAGGTGGTGACCTCGAGCCTCGTTCCAGCTTCTCTTCTAAAGGCGGTGAGTACAGGTCTCTGATCAGCCTTGGGATCCCAGCTCCAACTCTGCCTCAGAGCCACTCTGTGTGTGCTCTGCACACAGCTTCCAGGCCGTACTTCCCCAGAAAAACATCTGATGCTTGTCTCCAGGAGGAAGATGCCAAATCTTTATTACCACTATTATTGCTATTGACCTGACGGTCACCGTTACTTAGAGAGTCGGTGAGGCTCTGAGTAGAGAAATGGTATCAGCTGTTCTCGTAGCCCAAGAGGGTCCCGATGGCCCCACTGGATAGGAGTGGCTGCTGGGTCCCAGGGATGCTCCCTGACTCTCAGTTCACTCCCAACCATGGTTGTTACACAGCCACCAACAGGTGCTTCTGAAAACTTGGGTTTCCAGAGGGATGCCCAGGGCCACTCAGGGACCCTGCTCCCAAGCCCTGGTCAGCTGCCTTTTCCATCACATAGAGCAGCTATTCCAAACCTTCACCCCCCACCCCGGCCTCCAATGCCACCTCCTACCCCTTCGTTCTCAGCAGATGGTCCTGCCTCCTACTGCAGCGAAAAAAATAGAGGCTATCAGGCTGGTACAACTCAGCTGCCCACTTTCCCTCCATCATCCCCCTCTGCCCCACACACTCATCTGTGTGCAGCCTCACCATCTTCCTCTAGTCTCAGAACAAAGGCTGACGGGGACTAATGCTTCCACCCATGTCCTTCGAGCCGAACCCCTAGAGTCTCCGCCAGAACCAGATCTGTCAGTTACTTCTCTTTCCTAGATCTCCAGTACCCTCTGCCTACCACTCCATGGCCACCCTGCCCATCAGCAACAGCCTGCTCCAGTCCCCGCCTCTAATCCTGTGCTTTGCTCTAAGCACGACATGACCCTCCCCATTGCCATGGCTACGTCTGAGAAGAGTGTTCTACGTCAACCATCTCCACTATCTGGGACCTCAATTTTCTCCCACCCCTTCACCTCATTCTCTTTGCTTCCTCTACAGGACTCCCAATCACCAAATCCAAAAGGCCCTTTCCAGAGCTTTACTAATTTTATCTCTCATTTGACAGCACAGAGTAATTCTGGCAGACTGTATTTCCCCAAATCGCTGCAACAACACCTCCCATTCTGATGCTCATCTAGAATGTGGTCATGCCCCCATCAAGGAGTAGAGTATTCCCCTACCCCTTAAACCAAGGGAGTTTTTGTGGCTCTTGTTCTTACCAACAGAGTAAGGATGAAGTAGTGCTAAATGCCTGCCACGGCTAGGTCATAAAATTGTCCCGTGCTTTCGGCCTTATTCTCGTGGGACACTCGCTCTTTGAACCCAGCCACCATGCTGTAAGGAAGCCCAAACAGCCGCAGGGAGGCCTCCCTGGAAGGACCCAAGGCCCTGCCCACAGCCCTAGTGGAGCTGCCAGCCATGTGAGGGAGCCACCTGGAAGCAGACCATCCGGTTCAGTCAGGCCACCCCGCTGGCACCACATGAAACACTGGTGAGTCTATCTACCAAGCCCTGCCTGACTGCAGATTCATGAGCAAAGCACACGACCGTTGCTTTAAGCCACTATGTTTTCTAGCTCTCTTCCTGAATGGCTTCCACTGCACGTAGCAGCACTGCTCAGTCCTGGTTCTCCTTCAATCCCTCTGGCCTCACCCTCCCTGTTCCCACGAGGGCTCATCTTCCTGGTGTATGCTCCCCATGATGGTGTTCCTCACAGCTCTTCCCTTTCCCTCTTTTCCTCTTTGCCAGACCTTTCTAAGTGACCTTGACTACTCCCCCAGAGTCAGCCACCTACCATGAGCATCCCTGCTGTTCAATCCTGCATCTGTATTTCCACCTGAATGCAGACCAGCAGAGCGCTGGTCCCGCTGGACCAGAGCGCTGGACGCACCACCCATCCTACCTTGTTCTGAGATCATCCTGACTCCGTTGCTCTCAGAAGAAACTGCACTTCCCAGGCTCCCTTCCATCTAGGCTTGGCCATGGGGCAACACTGGCAGAACGCCGCGTGAACGGCACCTGCAGCTCCACCTCTCAGGTGATGGGCCCTACGGTTGTGATCGGCCTCCCAGAGGACCGGCTCCTCATGGGCCAGCTCCACCGGGTGGCCCTGGCTCCTGGGCTCCAGAGAACCACCTCTTTTCCTTGCCCCTCCACCACGAGGGTGGCAGGAGCTTCCTGCAGGTGGTAACTGCTTCACCACCCCATTTGGCTTCTCTGCAATTCTATCCCCTGGGAGCCTCATTTTCTCTTTTAAATTCTCTGTTGGAAATACCTAGAGCAACTTTCTTTCCTCCCAACTGGACCCTGATGGACACACTGGTTAAAGGCACCCAAACTTAATTATTTAAGCCAGAAACCTACAATTTGTTTTATTCTCCTCCTTTTCATCCGTGCCAGTGTTTACTACCACCCCATGTAAAGCTGGTCACAAGGTCCTCGAGCCTTCACTCCCCTTCACTCCCATTCCCCTGCCTCAGTTCACATGAGTATTTCTGGCTCTGAGCAGTACGGCAGCCTCTCCATTAGTCTCCCTGGCTGCAATTTTTCTGCCTTCCAATACATCCTCCAGACTGCCAACAGACTTTTGTTTCTAATGTACATCTGATCATGACATTCCCCTGATTTAAAATTCTTGAGCGGTTCCCCACTGACTACAGGAGAGAATCAGATCTGCTCAGTTCCACAGTAGATCCATAACTGCTGTGTACACCCTTCTATGCCTTCGCCTGGAAGATAAGGCCCTCCGTGCTGTCCTGCCGACCTCCTCAGCCCATCTGCAACCATCCCCAGCCACACCACCTGAACCAGCTCAAGTTCCCCTCCAAGCACACCCTGGCACAGGCTGGGCTATTCTTCACCTGCCTGGCTGTCTCACCGGCGCCTCAGGGAAGCACCTCCCTGACCGAGGATGCCCCCAACAGACCGGGCACAGGGCTGACAACGCTGTGCACACACCCTTTTCATGGAGCTCATATCCCCACACGGTGACTGCTTGTGTCCAGACCTGCCCTTCTGCTAAAGAGGGATGAAGACAGAGCTCCCTCACCCATAGTGCCTAGTGCAAAAGACACCTTCCGTGTGTGTGCGAAGTTTAGTCAAGGTGAGCTGAGGGAACACACTAAGGGTCCAGCGTGAGGAAAGAGAATGGTAGGGGGACAGCAGAGAAGGGGAGGGACATGCTGGCAGGTTAAATGCACTGCTGGCCTTCCGGGCCAGATGCTGGCTACCACCAGCCGGCTACCAGGCTCACCCTCCCTTGCTCTGCGGACAGAGCTAGAAAAGTCCAGAGACACAGTCTCCACCAGGGTTTTTTTCCAGGAACACTTTAAGGCAGACAAGCTTGTTCACTCAAAACATGGGAGATATGCACACAGTCTATGTAAATATTTGTGTGATCTTCCTGTCATTTTTACATCCCTTGGCTGACCACATGCTCCCTTCTGTTATGAATTAACAAATGAAGCTGTAACTTTTCTACCCCCAAGGAAATCACTTTTGGTTCATCTCATTTCTGCAACATGCATATGAGGTCTCCATGCAGTCCCAGCAGCTGCTCATCGTGCTCTGAGACCGTCCCCAGGTAGTTCCTAGGAACAAATTAAGAAGAACTGGCCAACCCAGCCTTGCCCCCCCAACCCCCAGTCATAGCATCACCACGACACCTCCTTTGTCATGGTCTCAAGCTTTCCTCTCCTGCCTTGCTGCTCAAAGGGTCACACTCCACTCAGCTGCCTTGAATCAGTGTCACTGGAGCCACCCAATTTCCAGAGAAATACAGAATGAGGATAAAGGAAGGAGAAAGGCGAAGGCTCTCACCTCCATCAGAAGAATGTCCTTCGAGCTCTGAGCTTGTACCTTTGGGTGCTGGACCTTCACGGCCACCGTCCGGCCATCATGCAGTACCGCCTTGTGGACCTGGGCCAGGGAGGCGGCCCCCAGGGGAGTGTCATCAAAGCTCATGAATAAATCGTGGATCTGTCAAGAGCAGAGAAAGGATGGAGCAAATAAGATGACTCAGTTCAGTGAGAGGGGCCAAGAAGATGGGCCAGGGCCAGTGCTCCCTGATGCTCCCAAACAGGCTCTCAGCTCCACCAGCTGTATGCCAATCCAGGCCATGCTTGGGCTCTTTGCTGCCATGGGAATTCCCAGCAGGCCTCTGGAGGGAGTGAGAGAAAAAACACACGTGGAGGGTGTGTCCCCAAAGGCATGCACGGGTGCTCGGAGCACCTCCGTTTAAGGCCAAAGAAGCACTGTCTACAATGTTCAGAATGGAGTACCATCTGCTCATTTAATTATGAGACACTGCAGCCCCAGACTCCCATGTACACACATAAAATCAAGAGTTAACAGAACCGGGGCCCCAGGCTGCCCAAGATGGATCAGATATTCCAACCAGCCACCATGGAGAGCTCAAGGGATGCCAGGCTGGAGGCTCCAAACCCAACAGCCACCTCTTGTTCCTGTCTGAGCAGCAGGCTCAACACAGGTCCTCAAGCCCACTCTCGGGCCAGCCACCCAGCAGAGACCCCAGGGCTGCACACCACAGCCTCGCTTTTGGCCTCCTCCTGCAATGCCACCCAAAGGTAGCCACCCTGGCCTCTCTATGAAACAGAACATGTACTCCTAACTCTTCCATCTGCTCTTCTCCTCTTCCTTCCTTCCCTCTTGGAAATGGCACATCAAATTTTCCTAAAGGATAAAAGTCTTTCTGACCTGAGTGGTCACACCTACATGGTTCAGATATGATATTCTACCAGCTAGAAAGAGAGTCTCCAAAAAACTCTTGCAAAAACATCCAAGGCTGAAATTCTCACCCCTTGCATTTCTTGAAGTCCCTGTGTAGCCTCCCAATCCTGGAAGGTCCAGACATTCACACACATGCACACATAGTCCCAAGGCCCCCCTTCTCACGGCCCCCAGGCTCTCATGCCCATTCATTTTGCCCCCGCTCCTGCAGCAGGCACTCCCTCCTGCCCCTCGGCCCCCTCCTCTCCTGGGGCTTCAGCAGTCAGACAGCCCACGGCCACCATCCCATCCCTCTGTTTGCTAGGCTGCACCAGCACCTTGCTAATCTCTCTCATAAATCACTCCCTCCAGCCCTGTCTTCATTTCTGTATCTTTCACTAAACTCTATCCCATTTATCAACATCCTTCAGAGGCCAAAGGTCCAAGTAACACGGGCGGAGCCCACACTTCTGTCACAGGAGGTGGGTACGGATCGACTTCCCTGTCCCCCTTCTTCCTCCTGGGTTTTTATTCGTACTCCTCCTAGTGTCTACGTACCTGCCTCCTTCCCCAACCATATACTTGTCTCTTTCCCTCCCCCCTGAGTTCGAGGCTCCCTGAGGGCCAGATTCTCCCCACATCAATCACCCCAGGCCTCCCCACACAAGAACCCTTTATTCTGGATTTGGGCGTGAACGGGGAGAATGAAAGAACCACCATCCTTGTAAACCTCACCCAAACATCAGCTTCAGGTGGGCAGGGACTTCTGTCTGTCTTGTTAGCAGCCGAATTCCCTGCGCTTAGAGCCACACTGGAACCAGTTGGTGCCAAACACATATTCATTGAAAGACTGACTCCACTATTCTCCCCACTGGAGAGGAACTGAATCAACTCTTTCTTCCTTCTGAAATGGCTGGGCCTTCCTACTCCCACACTCCTACTAATCCAAAGCCCTCAAATGTAAAAGCCCATGTCCCGTGTGGGATTTACTTATGGACTCCCCCAGTGACTCCAGGCTGGGTATGAGACTCCAGGCTGGTCAATCAGGCTGAATACCCCGGGTCACACTGATTGGTTCAGAGACAGACATGTAACCCAACTGATCCAATCAGACTCAACTGTTTTACTTTTGTTTGAATGGTAAGAGAAGGGATTTTTTTTCTTTCTGCTGAACTTGAAGGTAAAAACTGAACTTGAAGTCTGGAGCTATCAGGAATCACAGTAGCAAAAAGAGGAAAGCAGAGACAAGAGACAGAGAGTGAATCCATGGTTAAGTCCCTTGATCCAGCCAAGCCTGAATATCTACCCTATAGTTCCTTTTTCTGCTTAAGTCAGTTTGAGTTGTTTTCTGTCGCACAGAAAACAAGGGGCTCTGAGAGTTCTCAGGCTCCATCTGGGTTAGATGAAAGAAACATGTGCATGGTGCCCGGCACCCCCAAGACACTCCATAAACATGAGTTCCATGGCCTCCCCTCTTTCCTCTCCTCGGTGGCTTCTTGATGGGACTGGGATCCAGGAACAGAAGGGAGGGAGAGCTTCAGCAATAGTCCTGGCCATTACATAATGAGATCAACAACATCCTTTAGAAACCCTCTGGCTGTTCCTTACGGTGTACCAAGGAGAATGTTTTCTGGAGCAGATCTGTGAACTCAGACCCTCACCTCCCAGGCAGCTGGAATGGCCCCATCTTCCCACTGCAAGGGGACCTGGGGGTCATCTGACCCCATATCCCACCCCAAGTCTCCACCTGGCTCCCTGGGAACACTTGCTCATTTTCTAAGAATGGCCAGTCTTCAAATCAGTGTCATTGCAGGGACGTTGCAGAGTCATTGCAACTGAAGAGTGACATGGCATCACTAGGGCTGTGTGGCAAGAAGAGCTGCCAGGAGCACTCTGGGGAGAGGCGAAGGAAGGAAAGGGCTGAGGCAAGCATATCCCAATCTCCAGGGGAAGAGGAAGCCTGGCCCACCAATCTCCCCAGGGAACAAAAAGGGGGCCTCCCACAATCCCCTGCCCCCACCAGGGGATGCAGGGAAACCGGAGCTTAGGATACCACCTAAACCCAGGTGCCTCAACTCAGCACCCTGAACAAGGCCCAGCAGTGAGGACCTGCCTTAACACCCAATTTGACAGGTGGAGGCAAAAAGAGGTGTGGGGAATGAGGAGGCACCACTCACTCTGCACAGGGAACCTGTTGGGCAGATCCCCACCCCACCCCTGCCCGCCCACCGCCTCCCAGGGCCCCTGAAGCCATCCTTCCATCCTTTCCCCTGTATCAGGAAGTCACACACACACACCCTCCTGTGCTTACACACATACACACACACACACACACACGCGCGCGCACACATACACAATAATTGATTGCTAGTGAATGTTCCTAGCTGGCTTATAAAAAAGGTAATTAAAGATTGGTGCTGCAGCCTGTAATTAAATATGAATAAAGTATCTCTAAATGGAACCTTGATTCAAAGTGTTCAGTGCAAGTACTTTGTGCTGATAGATAGTGAGGAAAAATAGACCCTGTCCCGAAAGCAGAATTACGCCCCCCATGTGGCTGACACAAACGCCAACCCCTCCAGTGAGGCCCTGGTCCCCAGCCCTCTGAGCAGAAAGCCATCAGCAGAGGCCAACGGCAGCACGCGCAGCAATTAAAGTGGAGCAGGGGAGGGGAGGGGACCTCCGGTCTCCCTCACAGAAACCTGTCTCCCCTTCTAGGCCTTTCTTTCCCCTGTTCCTCTTTCTTTCCTGGGGGTCTGGCGGCAAAATCAATTAAGTAAAAACTGCATTTTAAAATGACGAGTTATGTGCTTTTTAATTACTGTCAGCCCATGATTCAAATATATTGATGTCCCTGTCTAGAAAAGGAAAAATAATCAGGAAAAAAAGTTTCTCTAGCTTTGTATGATCTGGTTTTTCAGTGGGTGCGTGTGTGCGTGAGTGCACGCAAACGTAACAGGTGGTGTTTGTTATCTTATGAGCAGAAAACATCAGAAGGACAAGAAGAAACGTGTCTTCCCCCACAGGCTCAGGTTAAGACTTCAGCAGGCTGGCATCAGCTGGGGCCCAGGAAACTGAGGCCACATGACATTATACCCAGGTACAGGGCAGAGTGTGAGATTCTCCAGAAAGTTAGGCCTGCAGATTGCCAAGAAGCCAGTTTTCTGGGTAAACATTCCCAAGATGCCACACTGGGCAGCCAAGCACTGGCCAGGGTCCTCATTTCACCCAAAATAAGGAAATGGGAAGTGAGGACCTTCTGTAAAGACCATAATACGACTCCCGGGGAGGAGTTTCACATAAGTCTCCCAGCCAGCCAGCCTCAGGCCCCTCACCAGCCACAGGAAGGGGGATGTCCTGGATTTTCCAAGATGGCCCAATTTCAAATATTCTATCCTGCTGGCCCCATAGTCATGCACATCAGACCTATTCTGGATTCACTACATCAAACTACACTGACGTAAGATAATGCCAACAAATCGAACACACCCAGAACGGACTGGCTCTGGATGAAGACAGGAGCTCGCCTCAAAGCAGGCACGTCCAGGCCTAGTTGCCAAGGCCAGGCAGCTCCCACTTAGGAGCTGAAGAGTGCCCAGGGCACCTGGAGAAGGTTACCATGGCATCAGCAGCAAACAACATCTGGCTCTCGAGGTCTAGAGATGCCCCCTCCCCGTGCCTGGCTGGGTGCCAGCAGCCATCCACTGTAGTCTGATGGGGAGAGGGACAAGTCCCTGTACTAATGGAGTAGCTGCAGTGAACCTACCCTACCCGGAACCTGAGGCAGACAAGACAGGCCCAGCTACCAAGGACTCTGCAAAGCACAGACGGTCTGCCTTGAACAGAAAACCCATCATCTCTTCCTATATGCCGCTGCTTGAAACCTACCCAACCCTTCCCCTTGGGACCATTTCCCAGGGAACTGCCCCAGGCACCCCTCATCTCACCGGGGTGATATCCTGCCAGCTGATATCCCACTTTGCTGCAATTCCTGCTCCTCCCGGTTAAACATGCCTGGTTTGTATCCCACCTGCTCAGGGTCATTCCTGCACCTTGGAAGTAACACATGACGCTGACAGCAAATAGGTGGCACGTGTCCTCTCATTCCCCCTGCAGTGATTTTAAAATACGTCCACAGGTACTTAAAAACTCCTCCTTTTGGGGCGCCTGGGTGGCTCAGTCGGTTAAGTGTCCGACTTCAGCTCAGGTCATGATCTCACAGTCTAGGTGCTTGAGCCCCGTGTCAGGCT